GCAGAGTAACCCATCAAGCATTATCAATGCTAAACCTTTTAGATCATCATGATTTATTACTTTACTGCTGTTTTTAAATTCACCAAGTAATTCTCCATACACTTCTCTCTGAACCATCAATAAAATCTTACGCTTGGCAATGTCAAGCTCTTCGACCTTCAAACATCCTAGATGAACGGATTCTTCACAACTCGGTAAACGAAGTACCATCAAGAATTCGATGAACCTTCTAAACCAAGTTACAGCTCTGACTAATTTCAACCACTCGGAATATTAAGAGAGAGTGGGTGTCATGTTGTACTTTATACTACTCAAGTTAACCACAGGAGTTTTTCTAAACTCAAGCAATCAAAAGCAGGAACAAATCAATATGGCTGCCGCCTAGACTTAGTATAAAGTAAAACAACATAAGTGCAGCTCGGGAAGAAACGTGGAGACTCAGTGAAGGCGTAATAAAAATAAAAACTATAATAAAGTACAAATTATAACAACTCAAATGTGGTCAAAATGTTAACAATGTACAACTAAGAGGATCAATTGGAACAAAGTGCAAGTATATACATGGAGGGATTTTCACAAACACACAAAACATTCAAAATGGACCTTACATTCAGTAAGTAATAAATGCGGTATAGTCGAGATAATTTCGATGAAGAGGAATCAATGTGAATTGGGAAAGATGAATGGGAAGTTTAAGAAAGATATAAACATAAAAAGAATTTGGTTAAGAGATTCTAAATACGAGTTACTACCGAGCTAATTAGGCTCTGTGTGTGAGTGAGATTTGTTACATCAATGTTATGTTCGTTCATTCTTTAGAGTTCAGACAATTCTCGAAATACCTAACGGTCTAGTCCGAGATATGAAGAGACTTACATTCTAATCTCACAGCCACCGTAGGTTCCCTAAAGTGAAGAGATACATCTTTTTTATCATTGTCAACTAACACGATGCATATGTTTATAGGCTCCTCTTGATTGCTTTCAATTACTGGACATTGAACCTTATAATATGCAACGACATGGAAGAGACCATCTTTATAGATCAACTAATCAATAAGTCGGTTCGAAAGATACAACATCAACCTTCTGAGCAACAGATCTTCTCTCTATAATCTCAATATTTGATCACAGTTTGTAATGTTGAACATCATCTTATCAAGTGAATTGTAATGTGATCGTTACAAATCACTTAACTGGAGGAACAGCTTCATGATAATCAAAATAGTGAATGTTACATATACATTTCAACTCAGAATTCACCACTCGTTGAAATACAGTTCATTCTGGGTTCAACTAAGAATTTGTTCTTTGCTTCAATCCCACAGATATAAACATTATTTCATCATGTTGAAGAAAGTAGAAACAGTTATCGAACTAACTAAACTTACAGTAAAAGTGAGTACAATGAATATTTGAACAAACCAGTCAACATTGTAAGAGGGTATTTTGTTGCGGGAAGGTAAGGCCATGTGTAATGACTAACATTTAGATTCAGATTCAACCAGTGTATACCTTCCATCAAATGTTTGTCTCAATGTATCTTGATCATAACCAAAAACCATCTTTCACCTAGTGAACAGTGATTTTCAACTTATCTGGCAATCAATATGGATTGATAACTTGCCAAACTGCTGCTGGTGAGGTAGATAATGATGAAGAAACTTCTGACATGTATGCTGTACTACCTCACTTAATATTCTGAATGATTTTCCCTAAGAGCATTTTGAATCTGAAGATGAACACGGCATCTTAATAGTGTAGTTGAGGTAATTTGAACATTGGTATGCATTAGACCATGTATTGAATTATGGTGTTTTGATGCACTGTTAGAAGCTACTGATATTTTTATAAGTAGTAAAGAAATCAATCAGTAATGTCCAACAGAATTGACTGAAGCCGGACTTCATGTTCATCTTCATTTTATAATTAAATATTTGCCACTTTGTGATAGATCGAATCGCCGTTTTTGAAAGCATCCTCATCATAAATGCCACCATGAACCTATTAAGAAATCTTCCAGATCGATTCGTGAGTCTCTACAATATTGAAGTCTGTCGGCAATTAGAAGCAGATTAATTCCAGTTTAGAATTATTAGAATGAGGAAACTTATAGAATAATGTGACTTTGGTGAAAGATTACTCTCCTAAATCACATTAGCTGCATTACACAGATACTCTTTGAATGATACAATTTTCCGGGAATCGAAGAATCATTCAACATATTGTTGACTAAATCACACTATTAAATGATCAGTGAATAGCGAAATAGCACAATATTCAATCTGTGTAGATTTCGATTATTTCAAGACACAAATCAAACTAAGTGAATAACACGATGGCGCTTGAACGGAATGATCCTGAGTTCGAGTCACGGAGGTAAAATCAATTATTGGACGCAGGTACGTCCAGCTGACAAGTCACAAATAAGGACAAAAGCACATCATGCATTCCATCGCTAGTCACCAGCCATCTTTCCTGATAAAGATTGAGTTATATTGCGTGACAACTAGATGAGGACGGACCAAAGTATTGTGTTCGGAATTCGAAATCGGACAGTCTCCAAGTACAAAGGTATCATTAATTTGTACAAACACCACAAACCTGTATATCGTATGCATTGAGGAATAAGATTTGCAAAGACAAATAGCGAATTCTGTCTGATTCATCGCATTGAATATAACATAACACCACGTTCTTTCATCATTTCTATTTACATCCGATAACATTTTCAAGGTAAAATTAAATACTTCTTCTTCAATCTCAGTGTAAACAACGTGTTTGTCTAATGAGCAAAACATATTTGTGTTGACCTCTTTTTTGTTTATAGAATCAGCTATGATCATACTTTGTTCATCATTGATCACCTCATTGCATCTCATTAATCAATCAATAATATGGTATTCTCTATTGTGTATCGTGGGTGTCATATGCATGTTGGTTGTTGTTTATTTGGCTGACATCAAAACGGAGTGAAATTCTCATTTTGCATATTATTATTATTATTACTTTTCTAAAAAGAAGATGAAGTGGAAGCAAATGTTCTGGTTGTCAATTCATAGATGGTCTTGCTCCAGCTGTGAATAAACACTGTAACCATTCACCAATTAATTTCAAATGATTGTTGTGGTGGTCATAAAATCATCCAGTTTCGCCTCCGTGATTTATCAATCTGTGAAATGTCCATTATTAAATTTGATTCTTTAAATGTCGACTAGTTGTCACGCTGTGTGTATCATTGGTGAAGGAGACTGTGGAGAATAATCCTGATTAAATAATCCACAGCACGTTCTGTGTATCTTTTTATACCAATCATTGTGACGGATACACTCATCATTAGCCGATATTCTGAATGAACACATTTAGCTATTTACTTGATGTTTGCTTTTATTTGAACAGTAATTAAGGTTGGATATCATAGTTTAATGGACGTTTAATGGAATCCTATGTGTGGCTGGATTCGCTGAGACATATCAGTTGATGTTGAAATTTGTCTTCATTTTTCTACAGAATCAAAATGGATTTACACCATAAAGAAGCATTCTTATTACAGATGTTGGGAACGTAAGATCCCCAGAACTCACTTGGAAAAGGACCTCATTGTGTAATTTTATTTAGAAAATTTAAACTTATTTGTTTTCGCGTTCTTGTCACCTTCATATGGAATTTCCCAGCTGGGAAATATCTTAAATGCTGTTGGTCCTTTGCGTCTTTCAGTATGCTACTTGGTAAGTTACCCCGAGGACGGTTGAGTGCTGTATATATACGTTTTGATTTATGATTATTGTTGTCTCTGGTTTCTGGCTGTCTGCAGAATATACTTCCGCATTCCAAGCTTGGATTTGTTCCTTTAGTTAGCGGGGCTGGGGCGTATCAGAATACCCTTCAATTATTATGTTAATGAAGGAGTGCAACTTGACAGTTCCCGATATCAGCAAAACCCATTGGACACAACATAGACCAATGTTTTGCATTCGGTGGAGATGCTAATGTACTGTGTTTACGATGGAGACGGTGCTCCACGGATATCTCGCCTTCATCATAGGTAACCCAAGTTAGAAAAAGGCAAACGAGGTTTTTAATTCTGTGCTGACATTTAGTCAGACACCAACTAATTACGGCTGATCAGACTTCCAAGATAAGTGAAATTGTCAACACGTTCCACTACTTCATTCCCTATCCTCAGTTCAGGTGTTGATTCAGGCCAGTCCTGAAACAACAACTTGCATTTAGAGAGGGCGGAACTCATTTCAGACATTCTGGCATTGTTGCTCAGTGCTACCAAAAGACTTCGCATTTCATCACTGCTTTCACCAAACAGGACTATATCATATGCGTATTGTGAGTCGATAAGCAACTCTTGAATAGACCAGCTTTGTTGAGTCCATCAGAGATCGAAGCAGCACACACTGACTTTCTTATAAATGTTACTCCTGCTAATGAAACAAAGACTTATGAACTGAGTTCACTTACGAATATGATTTGATAATTCGGGAAATCTGTACAATTCACCGCATCCTAGATAACATATCACCAAGTTCTATCATCATTTCTCTTACATCCGATATCATTTTCACAGTAAAATCTATTACTTCTTTATTATCAATGTAAACAACGTGTGCATTTTCTTAACAAACATATTTCTGTTGACCTCTTTTGTTCATTGAAACACTAATGATCATAGTTTGTTGTCAATTATCACCTCATTCCATCTGATAATGAGATCATATGGTTCACGTAGAATCTACCACATTATCCAATAAGATCAATTTAGACTACATTAAAAAATATCTAAATAAACCAACTAATCTTTCCATTAAAGAGCAAAGTTAAGATGAACACTGATACGATGGATGTTATACATACCAATCCTAATTATAATGAGATGAATGATATTTTAAGAAAACACTTATTTAAAAAGAAATAAAGACAAACTTGATCTTCATGTCATAGAAATTAATTCACACAATTGTTTCTAACTACTTTTATCGATATAAGTAGTTAAATATGATTAAAATTTGATAGTAACCAATTTCTCACTGCATATTCATGTGATTGTTTCACTGAAAATGTAGCATAATTAGGCAGATTTTGACATGAATAATCAATCTTTTCTCCATTTTCTTCAGTACTCTTTTCAGTAGTCTGTAAAAGATTCACTTCAGTTGAAGTATTTGGAAAGATTCTTTCATCAATCATATTATCATCATCACCAAATTCATCATTGGGTGAAGAAATGAGTTGATTTTTAACTTGTATTAGTAATGATTGAAGATGATCTAACTTCTTTCGAACTTCATCTATTTCATTTTCATCAAGACTAGATATCGAATGTGGAGATTTTTCTTTTGGAATATAAGAACATGGTGGAGACAATGGACTCATCCTATTCCTTATGTAAATTGAAGATAAACAGAAAACATGTATGGTTGATAATCATCAAGAGAAAAACAAACACATATGAAGTTGCAACTGTTATTCACAACTATTAAATCAAGAAATTACAACTTCATAGATTAGAAAAAGATCAATCGTTGGATGAATATCGCCAATGATAACAACTCAGATTATAAGGATATTTGATGTCTATTTTGAACGCGCAGAGAATATCAATCTTATCAGAGTTGAACATATGCCTTAGCTGATGAACGCCAACTAGTACAATGCGAGATGATGTGGGATTCCGTGTAGATCGCCTATAGAGATGTAAATAATGTCAAGAATTAGATAACTTGTGATAAAAGCTTTCCAATGGTTTATGATAGAATTGAAGATGTAAACCATTATATTTTAACTCAAAGTGATGATGAGTCTAGAATTTAGAATAGACATCTGCTAATTCTATCGAAGCGTCCAAGTCACTCGAAGTTCGGAAAACAACGATTTGTCTACAATAGCGGTTCTTTAATAAATAATACACAACATTTACTTACAAACATCAACTTGTGAGGTGTCTGGGGCGTCCAAACGCGTCATTCAACAATGAAAATAACAAAGGCTTCCTGTAAGAGTAACATAAAGAATAATTATAACATACGATAGTACAAAGGACAGCTGATAGCTGTGACTAAATTTGATAAATGTGTATCAACAACCAAAACACGAACGAAGAGCAAACAATATGGAAACTGTTGCGTTCAAACACATGCACAAAACTGTAGATAACCACCGCAGTGATTAAGGTAAAGTAATTATAATGATAAGTACAATAAACGTTATAAGTATGTGTGAACATTTCAGAATATTACAGTACAACTTGCGTTACAATATGAGTGTGAAAATTGTCCGGAATACAACTGCTTAATGAATGTAAATAAGTAGTATAAGACAGTATACAAAAGAGTAGAAAGGGAACGAGTAGGAACAACGTAAAACAAACTTAACAACATCTTTCGTGCTTTCAATAATCTTTCAAATGATTTCAATCATATCTTCATGAAAAATTATACAATCTCCTCTATCCAGTCATATATCGATCATTATCAGTATGGGGTTGTGGAGATTATTAAGTTTTTGATTGAGATCATGAACTGATTGATGTTTGACCAACACCAGCAGCATTAGACGGTCTTCCAGGGCTTCCAGGATTTCAATGGTCGTCTAACATCAATTGGTTCATGATCTCAATCAAAATACATCGATAAGTTCTGTACACAGACTGTCAATTCGAACGATTGATTTAACTTGAAATGAATAAATAGACTGCTTGTTTTTTGACTAACATTTCTAATGAAATACCATTCTACGTGGGGTTCACTTTTCCATAGACTGGTCACTACACAATCCTTCTATTCTGGACATGTACTTCTCGACTTATACGATTTAGTGCACTAATAGAAGAATAGGAGGATGAATGATAAAGATTTATTTGTGTTGTGACTTTATGAGCCGCTTGTTATCACGTAATCTATTCGCCAATCAAAATACGACTTATTCGCTCTTATACTGTACTAAACCAATGACGTTCGACTGGTCTAATCAGCCTAACGTCCTAATAGTTCGGTGCTCGCCTAGCCCGTCAACTTGAGTTCAACAACAGCCTCCACTATGCGAATCATGTATTTCAGACATACTTGGTTTATATACCAGCCAAACAGACTGCGTCGCACCATAAAATAGGAAATAACATTCATACACAATAACGCCAAAATGTGGCTGTGAACGTGGGAGGCAGTAGTTAGTAAACTGAACATAGCTTAAGAACAGTAAATCGTACAATAATAATATATAGGTCAAAATAAAGCTTATAATATGAGGAATGTAGATATACACAGTCTAGTTACTGAATATTTATACCATAAGAATATATAGATAGTATTAGTCCATTGATAGGTCTCAAACGTTACTCGTAATTCAATCTTCACCAGGATATAACAATTTCCATGTATAGAAAATAGATCGAAAAGTACATCTCATCTAACTTGTTATTCTTATATTATTATTTAAACACATTGATACAAGGAAGCATCGAATAGATATGCTTCATACTTCATCATTCGATTTGTGTGAGGGCTGTGATACTAATTGGGTACCCAAATCGAAGCTGGTGGTTTTCTTAGGTGGCCACAACCCCAGCCTCTTACCTAAAGGTTTGATCCACAGGACAGTGGAACAACGTCAAGAGATGCAGTCACATGCTACACGGTGACCAACAATAGGTCTATATGCCATCAGTGGCTTGAAACGAGAGTTTTCTATCTTCACTAGATGGATCCTCCTTGTCCATCAACCTGGTTAAAGCGTGAGACATTCGCTATTCGTCTTCACTGACAGTGGTTGTATTCACATGGCCATGTGAAGGCATTTCGAGAAGGATAGATTAATCTCCGCACTCTCAAACATACCAGGGCATTTGAGGTTCTGATTTTCTTGGGTTTTGTTTATAACGATCCATAATTATACTTTGAAGAAATTGAAATTCGAAGTATTCAGCAGTGATGATTCAATAATCCAAGAGATGGAAATGTTATCATCAACATACATAAATGATCCATGTGTTTGTTTAGATTGGAGAATTTTAAATTAATTGTGGAATGTACTATTGTGACCCCTTATCTGACTTCAATTGGATCAAATGAATGATTATCATTGAAACATATGATGTCGAAATCTATATGTCGCCCATCCTCATGTGTAATAATAATCGACTTAATTCGGGTTAGTGAATAAAAGAATAAAAATAAGTCAAATACGTGAATGAATTTCGAATACATATATTTCATACAATCATTGATCTAGACAAATAATCAGAGGGATGATGAGAATAGGACAGTGCGAAGTGACATTATGAGCAGTGGTGGAGAAGGCACATAACCCAACTCCATTTAATCGATAAGCTACACACATGTGATGAGTAGGATAGGATGTACACACACACATATACACTCATATAAAATTAGTCAAGATTGATAAGTGAATAATTAACAAGATCACGATGTGACTCAAGAAGAACCGTTAAATTGGCCTGTCCATCGTGAGGCTAGAATAACTTATGTGGGAATAACATAGTAACTTACACTACAGTACTCAATCTGTAAATTCAATAGTAACCACCTTTCGTTCCTTTAATGACCAGAGAAAGGAAAGAGGGAAATTCATTCAAACTATCTTGATAATAATTCACTTGATATTGTTTTACTTGAATCTTCCCATTGATGTTTTTGGACTGAAATTGATTAGTCTCTTATTGGCATATGTGCATACTGTGCGTATGCCTCGATATTGCCTTAATTTACAAGCATTATATGCAAAGATGGATAGTGGCTAGCAGTGGAATCCAGGACGCGCGTTTCGTCCTGTTTGGGACTCGTCAGTTGGATGTACCTGCATCTGAGTTGATGTTCACTCTGGGACTCGAACTCAGTACCGTTCACTTCAAACGCCATCGCGTTATCCCCTTAGCTACTGAGTCCTGATAGCCACTTGCTTGTGCACTGGGTTGAAGTTTAATTCACTTGATATTATCCTGGATCCAGAAGTTAGAGTTATATACGTGATCTTGTTCATTCCACCTGATTCACCATGATCAAGTCATTTTATTTCAATTCGAGTGTTTAGTTTGTTTTACATTGTTCTCACTCACTTTTCTTCCAGTATAGAACAATATATTGTTCTATACTACTTGTTTATATTAAGTAAGCAGTTGTACTCTCAGCAATTTTTCACTTCTGTTGTGACGCAAGTTGTCGAGTAGCATTCTGAAATATTCACTTATACTTAAATGTATATTCTACTTAACATTGTATTTATCATTTTAATTACTAAACCGTAATCACTGCATCGGTTATCTACAGTTTTGTGCATTTGTTTAAACGCAACAGTTTCCATATTGTTTTACTCTTGGTTCGGGTTTTCGTGATTGATAAACTGTTATCAAATTTACACACAACTATAAGGTTGTCTTTGTCCTATAGTACGTTGTAACTATTTTTTATGTTACCGTTACAAGAAACCATTTTATTCTATACAAAGGGACATGTTTAAACGCCCCAGACACGTCACAAGTTGAGGTTTGTAACTAATTTAGTGTATTATTCAAGAACGAACCGCCATTGTGGACACATCGTTGTTTTGCAAACTTCGATTTCGATCGGATGACGTGGACGCCTTGATAGATTTGACATAGAATAAACTGTTAAGTAGATAAGCACATACTGTAGTGATACATTTAAAAAGTATACCTCATTCTGGATTTACGACGATCTGTATTGAATGTGATCATATCAATTGCAGAATTGTCATTGGTTTGATATAAAATGTTCTCAGCTAATTGAACATTATTATTATTATCATTATCCATAGCATTGTTACGATCATGAATGTGTCGAATATGTCGAAGTTGTATTGATTTATTCAACGCTGTTGGATTTGAAAATTCATTCCATCGATATGTTTGTTGATTTATAATCCTGAATTGACAAAACCAATTAAAGTTAGAGATAATCAATAGAAAACTCTGATCATTCAATATGTATTGGTTCAAGTTGATGCAATCAAGGAAGAGATCAATATGATTTTAATGGTAAACATAAGCAGTACAGCCTACAAACATCGCCTGCAGTCCTTCCGAGGGCTACTGTCGGTCCCAAGTCCGGATAAAGGAGGAATGTTGGGCATGGGGTTAGCGACCCCATCCTGTAGAAAACTAACGTGCCAAAAATTACCGCCAACCTGAAAAGCAGTACAGACTAAAGTTGATAAATAATATAAAAGAATTACCAATTACGAATAACATTTGATTCAATATTTAGTGTAAAATAGAAAAAATCACCACAACTGTGCTGTTGTAACACAATTTCTGTCATTTCACTCATCTCTAGGTATATGCAAAATCAATTATGTGGTTTCAAATCAGGTACTCCATACCTTCTAATATAGTTGAAGTTCAGTAGTCACCAACTACTTGACTTTAAATGAAGCTAGAACAAATATAGATGTAGAATATTATGAATTCACTATTGTTGTCGTGGTTCCTCATCATCAGCTGCTTACAACCAAATCTGTATTAGAATTTTACATAGAGGTAAGATATAGGTATGGAACAATTGATAAAAGTGAATGTAAAGAATTGGAATGACGTTGGTTATCAATGATAACTATATATATGTGCGAGAACAGGTCAGAGTTTATTTGGTGTTAGAATCGCCCCCAAATGCCCTGATATGGCTGAGAGTGTGGAGAGTCCGCTCTCCCTCTCGAAATGCTCTCACATGGCCACGCGTATATAGCCTCTGACAGGAAAGTCCCATTCACTGCCTTCTCGTGGTTGAGGTGTTGTTTACGAAAATGAGAGGAAGAAAAGAGAATGTCCAACGCTTCAACCGGTCACAAACCAAATCAATGGTGCACATTGGCTCAAGTAACCTGAAGGAACAAATCGTGTATGAACCAATTGTTGGTCATGGTTACCATGTGACTGTATCTCCTTACGATGCTCCACTGCCTTGTGGATCAAACCTTTAGGTCGAAGGCTCGAGGTGTGGCCCTCTAAGAAAACCATCTGCTTCGGTTTGGGCACCCGTGCAGTATCACAGCCCTCCAACAAATCAAATGAAATTTGTGTGGCGCATATGTATTTTGTGCCTCCTTGTAATTAATGTCTATGTGTTAGAATCAAGGAAACAATTAAGAATGGGTGGTGTAATAGTCGATTGGAGTTCAGAGACAGATAAGATTCATGGAAATAAAAACTGAAGTTGTTATATCCTAGTGAATATTAAATTACAGGTAACTTCCAAGGACTATTCATGAACTAATATTCTACAAATATTCTAATTGTGTAACTACTCAACAATTACATTATGTATATTTATATTCCTCGTATTATAAGCTTTATTTTGACCTGTAATTTATTATTGTACGATTTACGGTTCTTAAGTTATGTTCAGTTTATTAACTAATGCCTCCCACATTCACAGCCACTTTTTTGGCTTATTTGTGTACAAATATTATTTCTTATTTTATGGTACGTTGCGGTCTGTCTGCTTGATATATAAACCAAGTATGCCTGAAATAAACGATTCGATTCGATTCATATTACAGAAGCTGGTATCTTGTTCTGGACTCAAGTGGAGGGGTTAGGAGGACATAGGACCAATAAGGACGCTAAACTGCTCATACCGGTTGAACGTCATTGGTTTGGCATAGTGCGAAGATTGTGTAAGCCGGATCCTGATTGGTTGATAAGTCGCGTGATAGTAAAGTCAGACATCTCAAAGTCATAACAGAAGTTATACCAACATGGAAAACCAGGAAGTATTGGATAGCTGTTTCGTTCTAATATGGGATTCCTCGGCAGAGTGCATCCATGATCCCACCTCGAAAGATTCCGACTCAGGACCTATCAGTCTCGCGCGCGAACCATTAACCTGTAAATTACTGAACCAGCCGACATACAAAGGTGTTTATGTCTAACTTCAACCAATCCATCAAATTCAGCGATACATCTACCATCGTCATCAGTGAGTTACTATCTCACAACATACAAGGTTGAAATTCACTGGTCATTGCTTCTCACTAGAACTCCAAGAAATACCTCTTGAAACCAGTCATTAGTAAACATATGCTGATTCATATCAGAAAGGTGTTTTTGTAGATATTACAGTAATTTCAATGGTTGTAATCATGTGATCATTTTAGTAGGTAATGAAAGATTCATGGTACTAAAAACTGATAAACTGGATCACGTAATGATTGAATAGAATTTGAAGAGTTCACATAATTTAAGAGAATCAATTCAGTGGAAATGTGTGAATTAAAGGTTGGTTTAAGAATTCGCTAATGGAAGAGGAATATAACGCAAACTAAATATTAACAAAATAAAACTAACAACCAAAGACCCAACAAAACAAAACAATAAACACACATACACACAAAAGGGATTACCAGGGTAGTAATATGTTTATTACTAACTCTTTTTTGAATACAAAGATCCGGTCTAAGTTCTTTTTTATCGCGATCGCTTCACCATAATTCAAAAACATAAGAGATATCGATGATATCCCCGATGTCAAGTGAATACCGAGCTATTGTATTGTTGGGAGCCCTAGTCCTTCTCAGCCTCAATTTCTTTGGAACATCCTCAGAAATGCAAACATGTAATCTTATCTCGATTCTTCCATTGTACGTGCTTTGGCATGTACATGTAAATTGGTAAATGCGATTGGAGCTACTGAGATATTCCTTTTGTAAATATCACTTAATCGTTTTAAACCTGATTGTTCTTGCTTTTCCACTCTAATTGCTCTTTGTTCCCGTTATTTCCTCTTTGATCTTCTTAACATTTTGCTGTCTGACATTCTATTCTTGACTATCATTATATACTACTTATGTCGATATAAGTACCACATATCACAATACAAAAATATGTTCTTTGATGAATAAACTTGAATCGATATTACCAAATAGATTAGATTACTGATCAACTGAAACATTGACAATAAATAGAGAAGGAGTTTTGTGGAGATTTTAGAAATTTCACTGGTTGAAATCATGAATCAATTGCAGTTAGACCACTATGGAAAACCTGGTAGCACTGGACGGTTGTTTCGTCCCAGTCTGTGACTCCTCACCAACGCGCATCCACAATCTCACCCCTCGCGATATTCGAACCTAGTAGCTATTGATCTCGTCCGCGAGGGCAACTTCGTGCATTGGTTGAAGTTAGTCATTAACACCGTTGGATGTCAGCCGGCTCAGTGGTCTAATGGTTAAGCGTACTCACGCAAGACTAACAGGTCCTGAGTTCGAACCTTGCGGGAGGCGAGATTGTGGATGCGCGTTGGTGAGGAGTCCCAGACAAGGATGAAACAACCGTCCAGTGCTACCAGGTTTTCCATGGTGGTCTAACTTCAATCGACTCATGATTTCAACCAGTGAAATCAATCAAGAGTTTGTTTTGTGTTTTTTAAATGTTATCACTTACGATTTAGGAATAATTAAATTATTCACTTGAATATGACCATTTTCTTTCATTAATTGAACAAGTAATTGATCATAATGAAATTTCATTGGATATAAATGATCCTTTCTTTGATTGATAGTCAATAACAAATGGTTACGTTTTGATTGTTCAATTTGTAAAGATTTCATAGTCAATTGTGTTTCATTTGGACCTAAAATACTGTTTATATGAAACGTGAATAGTAGTGTGTGTATATAGATTGATTCATTGAGAAAATTATTCATTCGAGTTTTATATTCATTAATGATAATCAATAAACGAATAAATATCATCAGTTTAGGGTTGTTGAGATTGTTAAGTTTTGATCCCGCGAGAGGGATCGTATATTCGCACTGCTGAGGAGACTCACAATAGGACGAAACGGCCATCCAGTGCTTCTAGGTTATCAATGGTAATCGAACATCAATCGATTCATCATCTCAATCAATAACTTAATAATCTCCACAACCCCATCCTGATCATTATATCCTACCTAATATGAAACTTTTTATCATTGTACATTAATGACTCCATATGGAATTTAGGATCTAAGAAGTTGGGGTTGAAAAGGACTACTGAACTTGAACAAAATGAGATGCAATTTTTAAAAAGATCCTTTCAATCCACAATGATTTACTGGTCTCAGTCTTATGTAAGGTTTGTATGTGTATTCTAGTTTGAAGAGTTGAAAAATAAAATCTCTACAGGAAACTACATTTGAAACTTATGATAAAACGTCTGTTAAGCTAAGTGAATTGAGTTCTTGATAAATTATACCTAGGTAAGTCAGTACTTATCATAATTAGAGGGAATCGACAAGCGAATTTCAATTTAAGTATCTTCTTCATTCATGATTATCAACAAAAACATAACCGCCTCCTGTTATAACTTGTGGCCTGTGTGCTCCTTTCTATATATATAACCTAATGATAACGCCAAATAGAGAACAGTGATTTATTGACCGGACCATTAGAGCATAAACCCCGTACGAGCAGTTTAAAGTCTACATTGGTTCTGCATTCTGTCTAGCCCTGAATGTTAAATCCAAAACACAAATATCAGTCTATGAAATATGAATCATATAATTCAAACATACAGGGTTTATATACAAACCAAACAGACAACATCGCACCATAAAATAGGAAATAACATTTATACAAGATCAAGCCAAAAGTAGCTGTGAATGTGAGAGACTGTAATTAATAGACAGGGTTTAATTCAAGGACGGTACTTACTTACTTACTTGCTTAATTACGCCTGTTACTCACAATGGAGCATAGACCGCCGGCCAGCATTCTCCAACCCACTCTGTCCTGGGCCGTCTTTTCTAGTTCCATCCAATTCTTGTCCATTTTTCCCATGTCTATCTCCATTTCCCGGCGTAATGTGTTCTTTGGTCTACCTCTTTTCCTTTGACCTTCAGGATTCCATGTGAGGGCTTGTCTTGTGACGCAGTTGGGTGCTTTCCTCAATGTGTGTCCTATCCACTTCCAGCGCTTCTTCCTGATTTCTTCCTCCGCTGGGATCTGGTTTGTTCTCTCCCATAGTTGGTTGTTGCTAATAGTGTCCGGTCAATGGATCTGAAGTATTTTGCGTAGACAATTGTTGATAAACACCTGTATTTTCTGGATGATGGCTTTTGTAGTTCTCCAGGTTTCTGCCCCATACAGTAAAACTGTCTTGACATTTGTATTGAAAATCCTGACCTTGGTGTTGGTTGACAGTTGTTTTGAGTTCCAGATATTCCTCAGTTGTTAATATGCTGCTCTTGCTTTGCCGATCCGCGATTTCATATCTGCATCAGATCCACCCTGTTCATCAATGATGCTGCCCAAATACGTAAACGTTTTCACATCTTCTAAATCTTCTCCGTCAATTGTGACTGGATCGGTGCATGCTTTGTTGTATCGGAGAATCTTGCTTTTCCCTTTGTGTATATTGAGACCTACTTCTGCTGAGACTGCTGCTACACTGGTCGTCTTCTCCTGCATTTGTTGTTGCGATTGCGATAGGAGGGCCAGATCATCTGCGAAGTCTAGATCATCCAACTGCATCCTAGATGTCCACTGTATCCCGTGTTTCCCTTCAAATGTTGACGTATCAAGGACGTTAAATGGTATAATAATAGTTCATAGGTTAAAATAAAGCTTATAATATGGGGAACATGAATATGTATAGCTGAGCTACTTAACAATTATACAATAACAGCATGTGTATAGTACTATTTCCATAAATGATTCTCAAAAGTTTCCATTCATAATTCTCGTCGAGATATAACACTTTGTTGAAGAAATCGATATTGTTATTCATGCGATTCAAATCAGTATGTATTAATAAGATCATGATGCATAACTACACATTAACTACAAATCAACAATAATAATCAATATGGAAACGGTGATGCAATTTCTTCAATTGTTTAGAGTTAAACATTAACACCATTGGATACTGACTCAATCGTCTAGAGGGTAAGTATTGATGCACAAAGTCGATACGTCCTAGGTTCAAATCTCGAGGGTCAATAATCATGGATACACACTACTGAAGAGACCCATATTGGGACGAAACGGTCATCCAGTGATTCCAAGTTTTCCATGGTGTCCTAGTTTTAATTAACTCAATAAAAAAATAGAACTTATTACCTCTTAGATTTTCGGCATAAATCCATTGGATTCATAAATTATTTCTATTGTAAATTGAAAGGAATTTTCTGTCTAAATGATCCTCTTTTCTAAGTTGAAAGAAAAAGAAGGAAAGAAAAGCAAGACAAAGAAAAGAAACGAAAAGAAAAGAAGAAAACTGTTTTTAACAATCACAATGGTTGAAGTTAGACATTAACACCGTTGGATGTCAGCCGGCTCAGTGGTCTAGTTAGTCAAGGGCCTGGCGCGAGACTGACAGGTCCTGGGTTCGAATATTGCGGAGGTCGGGATCGTGGGTGCGCACTGCTGAGGAGTCCCATATCGGGACGAAAAGGCCGTCCAGTGCTTCCAGGTTCTTCATAGTATTCTAGCTTCAATTGACTCATGGTTTCAACCACCGAAATCACAATTCAACAAATACTTCAAATACTTACTGTTATAACATGTGAACTGTGTGCCCTGTGAATGTATCATGTAATGATATTGTCAATTAGAGAACAGTAATTTATCGATTGGACCAATGACGCGTAAAACCCGTACGACTAGTCTAGAGTTCATATCAGTCCTGCTTCCTGTCTAACCATGCCTGTTCAATCCGGAACATTAATCTCAGTCTCAGAGATTATGAATCAAGATATTTCAAATATACTGGGTGTATATACAAACCAAACAGACCACATCGTACCATAAAATAGGAAATAACATTTGCAGAATATCTAACCAAAAGTGGATGTGAATAAGGGGAGGTATTAATCGATAGACAGTGTATAATTCAAGAATGATAAATCGTATAATAATCATTCATAGGTCACAATAAAGCTTATGACAAGAGGGAGACGAATATGAATCGTTTAGTTAGATAACAATTATACAATAACAATATACGTATAGTATAGATGCATAAATGGATCCCAAATGATTATCATTCATTATGATTATCGGGACATAACACTTACTCTTTTGTTCTACTATTCCATAAGAATTATAATCACTATGCATTGATTTATTGTATATTGAACTATTTCAATTCCTTTCTATGATTAATATATTGAATATTGAATTGTATAGAAACGAATTCAGAAGTAGGAATATAGCAATATGATGAGTTTTCTTTTGATGTCATTATCACCATAGTAACAATGAAAATACTGACCTTGATGGAAAATATTGACAAATATGAAAATTGGCAAAGTACATTTATTTGTATAGAACAAATGTGATCGATAATATATCATTATATAATATAAATGGTTTTGTAAGTAGTATGATATATATACCGTCATATAAAACAAATGATTTATGTAAAGGTTAGAATATTGTTCCTAGTGCCCTAACTGAAGCAGATGGTTTCCTTAGGGGCCCATAACCAGAGCTTTTGATCTAAAGGTCTAATCTACAAGACAGTGGAGTAACTTTATGAAATGCAGTCTCATGTTAGCTGGTTACCAACAATTGATTCATATGCCATTTGTTTCTTTAGGATATTGGAGCCCATGTGCATCATTGGTTTGAAATCAAGAGTTTGCCACTCCCCTAGGTAGAGCCTCCATATCCAACAACACGGTTAAAGCACCAAACATTCGCTTCTCGTCCTCTCATTTTCATAAACAACAACGTTTAGGCGAGAAGGCAGCAAGTTGAACATCCCTGGTAGTGGTTGTCTGCACATGGTCATGTGAGGGCATTTCCAGAGAGAGAGAGAGAGAGAGAGCTTAATCTCCCCATTCTCGACTGTACCAGGATATTTAGAGGGAATGTGATCTTACTTGAGTTCTACTACCTGCCTTCTCGTTTCATTGCTATTGTTTAGGAAATTGAGAAGGACGAAAAACGAATGACCAGTGATTTAACCGGGTTGGTTTACACGGAAGTTTGAAGACCGTGGTTCTAATTCAGTGGCGTACATGTGTTCCAGGATCCTGAAAAAAACATATGGTGTACGAACAAATCGTTGGTCACCGGCTACCATGAGAAAGCATCTACTTACTTTGCTTCACTGCCTTGCGGATCAGACCTTCAGCTCGAAGGGTCTGAGCGTGGCCCGCTAAGAGAATCACCTGCTTCGGTTTGGGCACCCAGGCAGTATCACAGCCCTCCAACAAATCAAGTGAGATTTTTGTGGCGCATATGTATTTGGTGCCTCGTTGTACCAATATCTATGTTTAAAATAAACAAATAAACTTAATTAAACTACTTTCTTCAAACCAATATATAACTTTTTGTAAGCAATGATGGATAGTGGCTAGCAAAAGAATCCAGTTTGACACTCATTTCGTCCTATTTGGGAATCGTCAGCTGGATGTACCTGCATCTTAGAGTTGATGTTCACTCTAGGACTCGATCAATTGCAGTCTTAAACCTCAATAGGAAAATACAAGCCAAACAATACCAAGTGAATATATAACTTATTAAAATCACAGTGTTAGTATGATAACATCTTCACTAACCAACTATTATAGGCATATGATTATAAATAAGAACTCAAGTGATGCAAATCAATGAATCATAGTGCTGTGGTAAAATTTGAACATCATACAT